ACTGCAAGTCAAAGCCCCATTGCTGCCTGCTCCACAGTGGTGTTCACCCTTCAATTTTCCACCGCTGCCCTTGAAGACAGGAAATCCTTAGGATCCAGGCAGAATCCAATAAAGAGAAATCTTCTACTTCCACCACCGGAACCACCGGCACCAAACCCAGCACCTCAGCTCCCATCAACCTACCAGAAGACTTCCCAGTCCTATCAAACAGTGACTCCACCCAACAGGGCACCCAGCCTCCACACAAGGGACCTAAGGACCAACCTGCATCCTCACAGTTATTTGCATCACATGCAAACAGTATACCTGGTCTTATTCGACTAGCGGAGAGGCTTGCCGGACCAGACACTCAACAATTCGTCAAGGAACTCAATGCGCTGTACCTAGCCAATGGCCTGGATCCCATCATCTCCCCAGACCCAAGTCTCACTGACTTCACTACCACTCTGGAGACTACCACCAGGACGACCACGAGGTTGATCTCAACACAGACTCCAGAACAACCCAAGATTCGGGTGGCACAGAGGTATTTCCCTCTTAAGCTCTCAACACTCCTACCATAACCATCTCCGCAGATGCGCTAGCAGATGTGCTGTCTACAAATACTAACAGCACCACCAACGCTCCTGAAATAGCTTTTACCACTAATCCATGACACCTGAGCCTACCTCAGGGTGCGAGACGAAAGACAAAAGCACCAACTACAGATGTTACAGACTCTTCATACAAGGAAATCTTAGTAGGAGCTCCACCACCGCAGCACAAATACAACAGTGATTTGATACAAGACCACCTCATGGAGGCCACCTCACCAAACTCCAACGACAGCATGGCTCAGCAAATCCAAACACAAAAGACTTAGAGGTCTACACTAACCCACCAGCTCCATAACTGGTACAATCAGCAATCTGAGGCTGTAATCCACCACAAAGACCCCCATCCATCCACAGATCTTTAGTATCAGCTATTGGTACTAGTAGTGGCTCAAAAGTGTCTCCACTTGTGGCCTATTCATGCCTGTGCCACCTTCAGGGTGGCTTAATCTTTATCACTCAATCAAGTAATCATCAGAATAATTTCAACAGTGGTTCAGTTAACTTCAGTACAGACGCTTGACAGTTACTGCACACCTTCAACCTCAAGAATGTAGCACTTGCTGTGTACAGTTCCAACCGACCCCAAGACGCTTCACCTTCGACACAGAGCAGACAGCCCGACTCTGGCCACATCGAACTTCCACGCTCTCCGAGAAGCCGACTTTCGCACAGAGTGACCACGCGTCAACCAGACAAAGGACCCGGAGAACATACTGGCTCGGAAACTGGAACCAAAGGCCCACCTCAACCCAACGAAACCCAAGCCCTGGCACAACCACTCTGAGAGGTCTGGAAATGACCCCTTCCCCCCCAGAGCACCAACAAGTAACAAATGGGGCGGCAACTGGTGGTAGCCTTTGACAAAAACTGGACAACACTGTCCTCCGGTGTTGGACAGAATGGAGATGAAGACTGCAAAGCCAGGGCCCAAGTGGAATCCAAAGAGAGAGCAAGGACGGCCCTGCTAAGATGCGAGACGAGAGGTGAAAAACATAAAAACAGCCTCCCAGAGGATCGGCGCAAACAGCTTCAGCAGGGCAGCCAAAACCAGAACCTCAGCCAAAGGCCCCTCACTCAACGCCTCCATATACTCCAAAAGCCAATCCGAGGACAGCTCCAGAAAACCGAAGAAGTGCAAGATTGAGGCCAAATGACCTCGAATCCGATGGTCCTCAGCCGCCAAAGCAGCCGAAAGAATGAAAACACGAGCATGCAACTGAACCAGACCCACACCACAAGAAAGCGCAGGGACGAAAAAGCACTCATTGAGGAGGGAGGTAATTGTCAGGGGAAAGCACCAAGCCATTACGACAATATAGTCCTTGGAAGGGATTAGGATAAGGATTTGGGATGGGACGGGGTTAAGGAATGGTAACTAATCACTTGGAAGGTCGGGGATTGAATGCCGACCTGCATGAAGCAAGACCGTTGCTCTACTGTCCATCCTAAGTGGACACTCATTGAGGAACTCCACTGAGCCCCACAAGAATACCTGCAACACCGAAGTAACCTCCCGCCAATCAAGCGTGCGGATACAACAAAACCCAAGCTACATTCCCAGAGAGAATAAAGGGCAGTCTGCCAGCCAGGAAGACTCTGGAACCTCGTAACACACCCAATATGGGGAAGAGGAACCTAACTCAAATGAAGCCGGATCCATTATAGAGGCGTAACCCGTTTTTTTGCAGGAGATAAACACAAAAAGCCTCCTGAACCTCCACAGGGGAAATCCGAGAGGAAGTAAACTCCAGAAAGATGAATCCGAGGAACCCAAAGGCATCCGGAAAGAAACCCGAGGGGACTCCACACCCAACTCAAATTTATACAGGGAAGGCAAGTACTGTATGAAAACCCCCACCCCTGAGGCAATAACCCCTGCCCAGAAGGCACAAGGATCCAAGCAGGATCAAAAAGAGCCCAAACACGCCATGCGGACTCCTCCCAAGCCCCAGTAACCCCAACACATGACTCGGGGCAGAGCCCTCATCCATGCCCACCACCCCTGAAGAAAAGGCAGAGTCCAGGGAAAAGTTTCAAAGAAGAGAGTCTGCTGGGTTGACCCAGAAACCTCGGCAAGAAAATCGAGCTCAACTACCTCCGCACCCAAATTGGAAGAGGCAATCCCCTAAGCCACCCGAGCCAAACCCAGCTCTGACTCCAAACCCTCAGACATTTGGAAGCTGGAAGCAGGAGGGGAGGGGGGAGAGAGCAGGGTGAACCATGCCCGCCTGGGAAGGAAGAAGGGGTGATGACGAAACCAAGGTCAATGTGACCAACGCTTCCAAATTCTAGACCTTAAAACTCAAGCTGGGCAGCTCTGGGGCTTCCAAATGGGCGACCAACCTGGGTCAATGCAACAGTGAAAACCTAGCATACAATGCAGTCGCTGTGTGGCCCCTGAGATCTTCAGATAAAGAATGGGTAAACTGGAGCAGAAACGGTGAACAAATCCCGCAAGACTCTGGGTCGTAGGTGTCAAAGACGCAACAGGTAGTATGATGGAAGCAGTATGGATGATTGTCTCCCTGAGGCAGGGACAATGAACAACCCTCAACCTTGCAAAAAGTGAGAGAGGACTCGGAAGACACTCATGATAACCCCGTGCCCAATGGGGTTTTCCAAGGCCTATAAGGGGAAGTAAGCTCTATGGGAAACCCAGGACCTGGGCTAGCTAAGCTGGTTGAACCCTGTCTATTAGCAGGCAAAATGACCACCAGTAGCAATTGTGAAACCTCGAGGGAACCAGAGAAGCACCATCAACACAACCTAGGCATACCTAATGAGAAGCTAAGCAGACCTCCCCTGGAAACAAAAGCAAAAACGCTAGACAAAAAACAAAAAAAAAACAAAGTCACACGAACAAACTGGCGGCCAGAGTAAATCGTCGACCACTGTGTTCGCAAGCTGTACCGGCCGCAGTGCTCCCCATCCAGCCACAAATCACTACTTACTTAGGTCAAGACGAAAAGCCAAAGACCCCTGACGTACCCCAAGGGCGAAGCCTACACCAAGTGACGGAGACCTCATGGGAGTGTGTCCTAAACTCCCCAGGGAAGATAACCCTGAAATGCTAGGATAGTTGTTGTTAAAGATTCGCTACCTGGAACAAAAAGTTCCAAGTAACACGGGCTATGGTGAGCCTGTAGTGCCTTTTTGCTAGGGTAGCACTTACAGGGCACCTAGGGAAGGTCACCCCTAGGTACATGCAGCCCGAGTACAATGAAACACCTGGTCACTACACCACACAGGGCAAAATCCAGAACAGGAAAGCGAGGCCAGAGGTGACATCTGACTGGCATGCACATCAGTCAAGAGTTGGTGGGGTGAGCTGTCAGCTCGCCTGAGCTTTCCTCCCTTCAGGGAGGGGTTCGTAAGTAATTATCAAAGAAGGCACCAAGCCGGGAAGGCTATGTAGCACCATCAAATGTGCTATATAACCTTCCCAGGCTTGGTGGAGGCGGAAGGAGCTAATGAGTGAATGCACGACTTGAATGAGGTGTTGATTGTTTATTTTCTTTTTGGGTGGCATTATTTTGCTTTGTTCAGACGTTGGTTGCAATTTTCACCAGCTTGTGGTTTGTATTGTTTCGCCTATCTTTCTGGGTGCTCTCCCTGGTTGATGGAAAGTATGATATACTCTAAATGTAGAGCACTCATAGGCCATTGCTCCCTGCGCCTCTCCGAGGGGACCAGGTTCTGGCTCGTGGTCTTCGGTAAGCATAAATAACTCCCGTGACTGATGATCCCAAACTAATATTGCACCTGTCGGTTTGCATAGCTTCAGGGAGCCAACCAGGCTTCCCACAGAAAACTGTTTAGTCCTATAAACTTTCTGAACTTGTTCCTTCAGGTATCATTTTGGTATGAACATATGATAATGCACGCATTCTGTCCTCACACCTCCCAGTATCACACCATGTTGGTATGAAACTGGTATATTGTGTGAATCCTGTCCTCACACCTTCCAGTATCACCACCATGTTGGTATAATAATTCATACTAGGTATGAATCTGGTATATTGTTTGCATTCTGTCCGTACACTTTACAAACCTCAATTTTGAACGTTATCAATGAGTGTGTCTAACCACTGCACTGCGCAAAGCGCCTTTAGGCGCTCATTGAGTTGTGCTTTTTGTTTTTTAATTTGGCTATATTTTAATGTTTTTTAATGTTTTCATTACTATTTGTGTTTTGAAATGGAAATAGTTGACATTGGAAACATTTTGACATTAAATTTACCTGAACATTTGTAAAAATAACAAAAATATGTCCTTGTCAATTGCACCAAGACGTTTTTGCCGAAAATAGGTGAGCAGTGCAAGGGCTAAGTGAGCTGATGCAGTGGAATTAAAGTATCTGTGTTTGGTCTATTTGTTAAACTCACAATTTTTTATTTAAAAAAAAAAAAAAAAAAAAATCACACACTTTATACAACTACAAAGAATAATATCAGTAAGGATATGGCAATGGATGGTGAGAGAGAAGGTGGATGTATTGTGATAGGTTGGACAGTGGCAGTGGAGGGAAGATGTTGATGGGAGGGAAGGTGTTGATGGATGGGAGGGTTGTGGTAGCTCAGAAGTGAGAGGGAGGTGGTGGCTCTGCGATGAGAGAGTGGTTATGAGTGGGAAGGTAGTGGCTCTGTGATGATGAGAGGGTGGTCATTGATGGGAGAGTGGTGGCTCTGCAATGAGATGGTTATTACTGGTGGGGAGAGTGGTGGTTCTATAATGAGAGGGTGGTTATGGATGGGAGGGTGGTGGTTCTGCAATTGCGAGGATAGTTATTAGTTGGAGAGTGGTTATTGGTGGGAGGGTGGTGCCTCTGCAATGAGAGGGGTGGGGGGTTATATTTGCAGCTTGGTGGTAATGGATGGGAGGGTGATGGCAGCTTGGTAGTAAAGGATGAGAGGATGGTGGAAGCTTAGTGGTGAGGGATAGAAGGGTGGTGGTAGCTTGGTGGTGAAGGGAAGAGGACTTCCCATGACTGTGTCAGCATCAGCTTTATATATAACTTCATGAAAACAGACAAGAGCAGTATAGTGGCTAAATTACTAAATAAAGTCAGGCAGGTCATAGGTCATTAGTAGTTAGTTGAGCCAGTGATCTGTAATCAGTCATTATGCAGGTAAGCAGTCATTATGTAGGTAAGCAGTACTGTAATTCACTCAGCAGACATAATCAGCCACAGGATGACTCAGTGTTTCTATCAATAATATCCTTCGGAAACTAAATATATTGCCTCAGAGGAAGCTATACTAGCATGTACATGTGGTTTTTCTTCTGCATGTGTTTTTAAATGGTTTATTAGAGATGATTTCAGTTTGAAGCTTTTTAAACACTCTAAACATTGGTATTTATTATCTCCTGAGTGAACATTTGTGTGCGACTCAAGAGCAGATTTATCTGAGAAACCTTTCAAACACATTGAACACTGAAATGGTGTGACCCCAGTGTGAGTTGTTTTGTGTTTTATCATAGCAGATTTACCTCTAAAATCTTTTAAACACACTGAACACTGATATGGTTTTTCTCCTGTGTGAATTCTCATATGTACCCCCAAAGCAGATTGTTGAGAAAAATTTTTGGAGCACACTGAGCACTGGTAAGGTTTTTCCCCTGTGTGGGTTCTCATATGAATCACTAAGCCATTTTTTTGTGAAATATTTTTTAAGCATACTGAACACTGATTCAGATTTTGTTTTGTGTGAATTGTAATATGTGCTACTAAAGAAGATTTTTGTCTAAATTTTTTTAAACATATTGGACAGTGATGTGGTTTTTCTCCTGTGTGAATTCTATGATGTGCCATCAAAGAGGATTTTTGTGTAAAGGCTTGTAAACACTCTGAACACTGATATGGTTTCTCTCCTCTGTGTATTTTCATGTGTCTATCCAGACTATATTTTAATTTAAATTCTTTCAAACACTCTGTACACTGATAAAGTATTTCTCCAGAGTGAATTCTCAAGTGTTGTAACAGAACAGATTTTTCTGAAAAAGTTTCTAAGCACTCTGTACACTGATATGGCTGTTCTGTGTGTGTTCTTAAGTGTTCCACGAAAGAAGATTTTTGTGAGAATTCTTCTAAGCACTCGGCACATTGGTATGCTTTCTCTCCTGTGAAAGTTGTCGTGTGATTCATTTCCAACATTCTGAACAAGGATATTATTTTTCTCTAATATGAAGGCAGGATTGAAGTAGTTTGTATGGAGGCAAATTATTAGTTTGTACCATATATGAAAATTTGCAAGGTACAGCTCGTCATACGAAGCAGTTGGGTGTTTCTGTGGAAGAAAATTTAATTATCATTAAAATATGCTCAGCCAGTGTTGTGGAGTACAGTATGAATGTTATTACTCATCTATCTATAACTTTCTTTCACTATATAGTATTATTGCCTTTTTTTCCGCATGACCTCACTTGGCAAGCAGGCCACGTGAGGCCTCCACACTCCTCACTCCTGCTCTCCCCCACACCCTCACTTCCTGCCTTCCTCCCCCCCCCCCCCAAGACCCTTCTGGAAGGTGGCTCAGTAGATTGCCAGCCAGCCAGAGACAGCCTGGAGAATCTCCATCTAATACAATAAATCATTCACGAAACAAATATTTTTATAATTTTTTATTATCCTAATAATGTTACTAAACAAAATCTGTAACCAAAAATATATATATGATGATGTACATCCAGAATTTAAGAAATAAATCTGGCTAACGGGGTTGAGTATGATAGGCTTATCAGAGTGAGCCGGTCCCTCCCTCACCAACGACACATCTCCCCCTTCCCCCTCACTACATCCCACACACACACACCACTGCTTCACTGGTCACATAGTTCAACTCAACACCCATCCATTCATCCCTCCCTCCCTACCTACATTCATCCTTCCATCCCTCCATCCATCCATCCATCCCACCATCCATCCATCCATCCCTCCATCCATACATCCCTCCATTTATCCCTCAATCCATCCATCCCTCTATCCCTCCATCCATCCCTCTATCCTTCCATCCATCCATCCATCCCTCCCTCCCTCCCTCCCTCCCTCCCTCCCTCCCTCCCTCCCTCCATCCCTCCCTCCCTCCCTCCCTCCCTCCCTCCCTCCCTCCCTCCCTCCCTCCCTCTTGCCTTCCATCCATCCATTCTTCCATCCTTCCATCTATCCATCCTTCCATCCATCTACCTATCCCTCCATCCGCCTATCCCTGCCTCCCTCCATCCATCCATTCCTCCGTCCATCCATCCCTCTCTCCCTCCATCCATCCATTCATCCTTCTATCTTTCCATCTATCCATACATCCATCCATCCCTCCATTCATCCCTCCATCTATCCATCCACCCATCCATCCATATCCCTCCATCCCTGCCTGCCTCACCCTCCCTGCTTGCACATCCCTCCCTCCATTCCTGCCTGCACCTCCCTCCCTGCCTGCCTGCCTCCCTCCCTCCCTGCCAACCTCCCTGCCTACCTCCTGGCCTCTCCTTGCCTGCCTGCCTACATTTCAGCCTCTCCCTCCCTGCTTGCTTTCCCACTCTGCCTGCCCATCCACCCACCAGTCAGCCATCACTGACACAATGTATGCATTTGGAGCCGACATGGTGCACGAATGTTCCTTGATTGCACAGATACAGTGGTACCTCGGGTTACGAACGTCCCTGTTTACGAACTTTTCGAGTTATGAGCCAGATTTGTTCGGAAAATTTGAATTGGGATACGAACTTTCCATTGGGATACGAGTTTGTTGATACACGTACGGCCGACCTAGCTCATAGTGGCATGGCGATCGCGCCTCAATTTACCAGTGTCTTGTGCCCAGTGACTATCCCGCCTGACGTCGTAACAAGAATTTACAGTTTTTTGTCGGATTTTTGGCCATTTGAACATAAAAGTTATTATATATCTCGCCTATGGGCCCCAAGAATGCCAGTGGTAAGGTTCAAGGCAAGAAATCACATGTGAGAATGACCATAGAGGAAAAACAAGAAATCATTCGTAAGCATGAAAATGGTACTCGTGTTGTTGAACTAGCTAGGCAGTACAACAAATCTTCAGGGAAGGAAGAGGAGGCAGTAGAGAATGTCCTTTCCTCATTAAGAAAATGTGTGCAGTATGAGGAGGACTGCAAAGTTTTGCTGAAAAGAATCACCCAGAGAAAGCTGTAGCAGACCATTGCATTAATCTTTTAAATGACAATGTGATGCCTCACTACAGACAAGTGTTGCAAAGGGAAAAACAATCTTCAATGGAACATTTCCTTGTAAGAAAAGGGAGAAAATCAAGCAGTGAGCCACAACCAGGACCTAGTGGTATGCAGGCAAAACGTGCCAGAAAGTGCACTCCAGAGAAATCTTCACTGCCTGATGTTATAATAGAAGGGGACTCCCCTTCCAAACAGTAACACCTCTCCTCCTTCTCCCTCCTCACCTCTTCCATATGCCAACAGGAGTCATCAGCAAGGGTAAGTAATAACTTGAACATACTTTTGTAGTGTAGATTTGGATGAATTAGGTATAAAATTTACTTTGAAGTGATGTTTTTGGGGAGTAAGGAACAGATTAATTCATTTCCCACTATCTCTTATGGGGAAATTCGCTTCGGTTTACAAATTTTCAGGCTATGAACCGTCTCCAGGAACGGATTAAATTCTTAAACCGAGGTACCACTGTATGTCCAACAAAGTCACAGAATGAACACTCCAGCCTCATTACAAGTCAAAACAATGTGCCGTGAATCTGTGACATTACAGGGTAGAACTCACAAGGGCTGTCTGTACAAAATATACCTTACCTGAATGTTACTTGAAATATTACAGACACTTAACAACTTCGGGAATACCTGAGCCCCGCATTTAACGACCTGGGTATAGCCCCATACAGGCCGTTAAATCGAGTGCATACTGAACATGAATTATTTTTTTAATTTCTTGTAAACACAAAACCGTATGAATTCTTGTTACTACTGCAAAACTATATATAATATTATTTCCACAAAATAACATTTTTTTTAATTTGTATTTATTTATACCCAATACAGTGGTACCTCGGAATGCGAGTGTCCCTGTATGCGAGTTTTTCGGAAGACGAGCAGGATTTACTCCAAAAATATGTCTCGGAAGGCGAGGGTTACCTCGGGACGCGAGTTTGTTGATACGTGTACAGGCCGACTGGCGCGTGGTGGCATGGCGATCGCGCCTCAGTTTACCAGTGTCTCGTGTCCAGTGACTATCCCACCTGAATTCTTCACAAGGATTTACAGTTTTTTATCGGTTTTTTGGCCATTTGAGCATAAAAGTTGTCATTATATATCTTGCCATGGGTCTCAAGAAAGCCATTGGTAAGGTTCAACATAAGAAAATAGCTGTGAGTAGAGGCAGTAGAGGATGTCCCTTCTTGATTAAGAAAATGTGTGAAGTATGGGAAGAACTGCAAAGTTTTGTTGAAAAAACTCACCCAGATAAAGCTGTAGCAGGCCGTTGCATTGACCTTTTAAATGATAATGTGATGTCTTACTACAGACAAGTGTTAAAATGTAGGGAAAAACAAGTGTCATTAGATAAATTCTTAGTAAAACAATCAAGTCCTAGTGGTATGCAGGCAAAATGTGCCAGTGTGTGCATACCAGTGAAGTCCTCACTGCCTGATGTGATAATGGAAGGGGTCTCCCCTTCCAAACAGTAACTCCTCTCTTCCTCCCACCTCCTCACCATCTTCCATACGCCTACAGCATTCAACAGCAAGGTAAGTAATAACTTGAACATAGTTTTGTAGGTTTATTTAGATGAATTAGGTATAAAAATTTAGTTTGATGTGGTGTTTTTGGGGTAGTCAGGAACGGATTAATTCATTTCCCTTTATTTCTTATGGGGAAATTAGCTTCGGAATGCGAGTTTTCGGAATACGAGGCGTCTCCAGGAACCAATTAAACTCTTAAACTGAGGTATGCCTGTATATTGCATTACTACAGTGACCTCCAACGATGTTAAGACTTGGGCCGTCACCAGCTACATGCACAAAATATTTGGTGAGCTTTTGCTACACACAACCGGGTCCATATTACCCTTTAAAAGTGTTTGCCATGGTCCATATTACCCTTTAAAAGTGTTTGCCACATTTTAGGTTTCTTACAGTTATCAACTTCAGAATTTGTGTCTGCATGCAAGTTTGAGCACTTCATGTATAACAACATGAACACTACAATTTTCTAGTATATTGCTTGCATATTCTATAAGATTTCTAATATACTGCAGTTACACAGGATACACTAGAAAACAGTTTAGGGCATAGGGACTCAAAATAGATATTTTTTTTTTTACATTTTCTACTAGACAGCACTCTTCTTAGATCTTTGCAGAGCTGAACAATTCAATAATATGAATGTTCATTAGTATACTCACCAACATTACAAACACAACACAAAACCCAAAAATTTCCCTACCGCAATGTCTCCTTAACCCTTAAATGGTGCATGGCTATATACCATTTGAAAACCCACAGGCGCATACAAAAAAAAAAAAAAAAAAATCTTTTTTCTTCCTAACCTGTTTGTATTCACTGATCATGGGAAAAATAATAAAAAAATCATAAGTGGCATATATTACCCGCTATAGGGCAGGGAAGTCTGGCAAAAAACAGGCGCTGACTCAGCGTGCGTCCCAGGCGGTCTGTTGATCGCCAGCTGTCAGGCCAGAGTTGCCACAAAGAGATAATTACCTAATTATTTCAATGTGTCTGATTGATTTTTCGTAGTTTTTTTGCTGTAATATTATTCAATAGTATGTAGTGTGATATATTTATATAATAAAATGAGTGAATCATCGCTGTACTCAAAAATATGGTGTGCATATTGTTGATTCAATTATGTTCATCAAACAGTGAACAAATACTTTGTCGGTTATTACACTATATACACAGGTAATATATAAGTATCTGCATGTTTTGTTCACCATAACGAACCACTAAGTTGCTATTATGAGTCAAAAAGTAACGAGGAGTGACCGCCGTGTACCAGCCAGCCACTCACACCCTCCCTCAAGTCACCTGACTCACCACGTTCTCCTCCCACAATACTGTTTTTGCTTTTATTCACTATATACAGACGCTATATATAAGTATCTACATTCGTGTTCACCATAACGAACCATATGCTGAGTGGCAGTGGCAGTGGCAGGCAGTGGCAGGCAGCGGCAGCCCGCCACTTTTGTGGTTGTTAACCAACTGAGAAAACTCAGTCAGTGGGAAACTGCGCCAACCGAGAAAACACCTTTTGAATACAGGGGTACCTCGGTTT